AGGGGGGTTGCCAGTGCCCAGGTGGGTCCTGCCAAGCGTTTGGCTTGAGTCTCCTTGGGAGAGGTGTTCCCAGCCCGTGCCGGGGGCTGGTGGGCACGGGGGGGCCTGGGAGGGGTGGCTGCAACGCCCAGCTCCACGCTGCCCACACCTAGATGGACACCTCATATTCCCTCGTGTCCTGCAAAGAAAACAGACTGCAAGGGGTTGGACTCCCGGCAGTGCAGTGGGGTGCCTGGGACAGGGATGCAGCATCTCCCATCCCATAAGGACCTGGGGGCACATCCCAGACTACAGGTGGCCCTGGGGATGCATGTCCCATCCCGTACATGGGTCCTGGATCAGTGTCCATCCTGTACATGGTGCTTGGATATTTATCCTAGATACCGTGTGTGGTCCCTAGATGGTTGTCAGAACTAATGTGTGGTGCCTAGATGGATATCCCACCCCACATGTGGTCCCTGCATCGATGTTCCTGTGTGTGGTCCCTAACTGGATGTCCATCATGTAGACAGTCTCTGGATAGACCCATGGGTGGTCTCTGCATGTCCCATCCCCTGTGTTATTCCTGATGGATGTCCTATCTAATTCATGTGTTCCTAGAACACATAACCCCATTCCCCACCTGTCCCAGCCCATGCACAGCCCCTGGCACAGGTGGCCCATGTGATGCAGGGTCCCCAGGGTGCCCAATGCGGGGGTGTGGGGGCCAGTACTTACTCCTGTCTCATAGGTGGGATTGTCAAAAGCCGACTCCACGGTGATATGGTCATAGGGGTGGGAGCCAGCAAGGGGCAGCTGGAGGGCTGGCTTCCCCTGGAGCCTGTGGGGAAAGGACAGCTGGAGTGGGCAGTGGGGGGCCGTGGGGCCCCATGGAGTGACAAGGGCCAGCGGGCCACTCACTTGGAGAAGTAGAGATAAATGCCCCCAATGAGCAGGGCCACCACCAGCACAGGTAGGAAGACAGCGATGGCAACGTTGGTGCCCTCCAGCGTTGTCCCCGAGGGCACGGCCTTGGCCACAGCTGCCCAGGAGAGTTGGGGGCTCACCCAGGGGACACCCCACATCGGCTGCACCCTGGGTGCCCTTCTGTGCTCTGGCACCCCAAAACACCCTCGCCCTTACCATCCAGGTTGCGGTTGCTGTAAAACTCATCGTAGGAGGCTGGAGGTGGTGGAAGAAAGAAAACACCAAGGGTGAGAAGTGGGGTGCTGGGCGGTGCCTGTGAGGTGCTGGAGTGGGGAGCCGTCATCTCACCCGCCTTGCAGATGGGAGGGAAGCCGCTCCAGCGTGAGGGGTGCCCAGGCAGGCAGCGCAGGCTACTCTCGCCCAGCAGCGCCCGGCCAGCGGTGCAGGAGAAGTGTAGGGTGGCTCCCGCCGGGTACAGCCGCCGCTCCGGGTTCTGCCTCCCGCCCGCCGGCACGCCAGGGTTGTGGCAGGGCTCGTACGTCTCCGCTGCGAGGCAGTGGTACCGTGGCGTCAGCACTCGCCATCAGCTTGGGGAATTTGCCCGGGGAGGGGATGCCCAACTCACGGATGCACTTGGGGAGGCGGTCACTCCACTTGGGTCCCCCCGCAGCACGGTCATGGCAGGTCAGGGTTCCAGCACCCGCCAGGACGTAGCCCTTGTCACAGACGTACTGCACGGTGGCTCCCACCGGGAATTTAGGGTTGGAGACCACCCTGCGGCTGTGCTCAGCATCCCCAGGGTCCCGGCAGGTTGTCACTGCGGGCAGGAGTGACCGATGGTGACGGTGGCTGGGGATGCACCCCAGGGCAGGGGGTCACTGGTGGGCAGCACTCACCCCGCTCGCAGGAGGGCAGGTCACCGCTCCACGTCAGGTCCCAGTGACACATCAGGAGGTCAGTGCCAGTCAGCTGGAAGCCGGGGTAGCAATGGAAGGTGACCACAGTGCCATGGAGAAGCTCCGGCTGTGAGGACGTTTTCCAGCCATTGGCAATGTCCGGCAGCTCGGGACAGGTGTCATTACGGGGGACCTCTGTGGGCATGGAAGGCTGAGCAGGGCAGCGGGGACACTGTGGACACCAGGGACACTGTCCCACCATGGCCCTCACCAGAGAAGTGGATGACAAAGCCCTGCCGATAGGCAAAGGCACCGGCGCCAGGGTCAGACTGGAACTGGACGGTGACATCAGCAGTGGATGCGTAGAGCTTGAAGCGGCCACGGGCGCCCGTGTACTGGCCCAGGATGCGCGCAGTCAGGTCATCCCCATCATAGAAGGTCAGCATGTCCCCCGAGCCCAGCCGCAACCTGGGGCAGTGGGATCGTGAGGGCAGGGAGTGCATAGATCTGTCACCCCACTATCCCCATCCCAGCCCATCCCAACACTCACACGCGGACATCCAGCATGATGCGCTTGTCCTCCTCCACGTGCAGCCCCCAGATGCAGTCCTGGCCCTTGCCGTACGCCTCCGGCCAGTTGGGCGACAACACCACTCCGGCTGTGTCCGTCAGCTCCCCGCTGCACACCGCTGTGGGCATGTGATGGGCTTGGCACTGCCACGGGGCACCCGCCACAGCACCCACTCCAGCATCCCACATCCAGCACCCACCATATCCCTCAGTCCCATTACACACAACAGCACAGTGGCTGCAGTATCTCTCGTGCCCCATCCACAGCAACCCCCGGCACCCTCCAGCACCAGCACCCACCACGGCACGCTGGTTCCGTCTCATTCCACTGCGGGTCACTGGGGTCGACGCACTCGATGATGGTGGAGCCCTGCTCCAGCGTGTAGCCAGGGTCACAGCTGAACTCCACCGTGGTGCCCACGGGGTACCGGGGATCACTGGCCGTGAAGTTCCCATACTTGACGAAGGGCTCGTAGCAATGCCCCTGCTCAAAGGCTGCAGGCACAGGGGCAAAGGTCTGCAGGGGCCGGGTGGGCACAGGGATGTTTGGGTCACCCACTACACCCTTGGTCCCATACCCTCATAGCGCAGCGCCATGCCCGCAGCGGCCCCGCTGCTGTCGGTGGTGAGCTCCACGAAGAAGTGGCGTCCGGTGCTGAGCAGCCCCTCAATGGGCAGGTACTCCACCTCGTAGGAGTCGTACACTGGTGGTGCCTCCACGTTGTTGCCGTTGCGGATGATGAGCCTGCCAAGGCATGACAAGGGCAAGGTGCAGTGCTGGCCATGGCCAACAGCAGCCATGCTTGGGCATGGATGGTAGCCTCCAACCCCGGCCATTGCCAACAGCACCATCCTTGGGCATGGCCAGAGGTTATCTTCCTTGAATATGGCCAACAACACCTGTCCTTGATCATGATGTGATTAATGTGATTAATGATGTGATTCCACCCTTGGATATAGCCAAGAGCACTCATCCTTGAACCCCATGAGGGGCTGCCCCAGGGTGCCCCCACACTCCTAGCCCCGCCCAGTTTGCTCCAGAGCCAAACCTGTCATCATCCTCTGCCAGTGACACCTTCTCGAAGTGGAGGTGCAGACGATGTCCATCTGGCGCTTCCAGCAGCCAGTGGCACGTCAGGTTGTTGCTGTAGTTCCCAGGAAAGCCGGGCGAGACAATGCGTCCCACTGTGGCGTTCTGGACCACCCCGCCACATGCCGCTGTGGGAGAGGGACCATCAGTAGGTGACTGTGCCATGCCAGCTGTCCCGTGTCCCCATGGTGCCGGTGCTTACCGAGACAGAGGGGCTCGTGGGCGCTCCAGAAGGGGCGAGTGGCATTGCGGCAGACGAGCCGGCGGGCGCCCTGCAGCTGGTATCCCGTGGAACAGCGGAAACGGGCGTCCCCACCAGGGTGAAGGCTGCTGACCGAGACCTCCCCGAAAGCCGGCCGTGCTGGGAAGGGGCAGCTCAGCAGGTAGGCTGGGGGCAGGTGATGGTGTTACCAAGGCTGAGGAACAATGGACCCCCCCCCAGAACCCAGAAACTGCCTCCCTTGGAAATGCCTGGGTGTGGTAGGGCTTGACTGACACGGTGCCTATGGCTGCCAAGAATTATGCTAAATTAATCCATAATTGCTAAGGTCAATCAGCTTTCCATGAGTGTTCCTCACCCAGTCAGTGCCCACTTAAAACACAGATAAACTCCAGGTGCATCACCATGACCCAAATTAGCACCACGCTGGTAGAGAAGCTTCCAGAGGGTACAGAGGGGTCTGAGCCCCATACCTTGGTAGTGAAAGTGGTAGGAGCCAGGGCTGGGGGGCCGGGGGCTCTGGAAGCGGAGGGTGAGGAGGTTGGCTGGGCTGCGGATGACCTGGCCCCGCCGCAGGAAGGACTCGTTGGCCAGGAGGTTGGGCTCCAGGCCTCCTGCGCTCTCCACTGTCAGTGTCTCCCCTTCTGCCAGGCTGATGTTCTCTACCTGCCAGGGACACAAGTGTCACCACAGCAGCATCACCCGGTACCTGGCTCAGAGCTGGTCCTTGAGTGGCTTCCCTGCGGTCGATAGCCCACTGGAGCTTGTCTGTGCGGGGCAGCACCTTTCAAACATGGTTAGCAGTGCCATAAATCATCCCTCACGCCAAGAACAGCAGGGCCCAGCCAGCTGCCAGGGCAGGTGACTCTGCCAGAGCACCACAGCACAGCCAGCAGAGCCCCGCACCGGCAGCCTTGCAGACAGCTAGCCTCGCCCTCTGGAACAATTTGCTATTAATGATGCTAATTAAGCCATGCTGCATGTTGAGGAACAGCAGCACTGGTGAGTGTGGGCTAGAGCGAGGAGAGAGGTGGTGGAGGTGCTGCCTCTGGCTCACCGCTGGCTTTCCACAAGCCCTGGCACTGCCCTGCAGTGGCTTCAGCAGAGATGGGGACACATTGCCAAGTGCCACTGACGGGAGCAGCACAGGCCTCAGCACAGCAGGATTTGCTGTCAGCCTCAGCTCCTGGCAGATGGGTGCTGGGTGTTCCTGGCCCTGCAGCACAGCATGGCACCTGCTGGGACTGCTCACACCTTCTCCATCAGGGTGTTGTTAATTAAATCGTGCAGCACTTCTTTGTGATGGGTGCCAGCCACAGCAGCTGGTGGGCACAGAGCATCCTGGGGCATCCCAACAACTCATGTACCCACATCCCTGTGCCAGGGCCTGAGGCAATGTCCCAAGCCAGCTCTCTTGGCTTAGGGACACAGGAATAGGGACAAGGACAGGGACAAGACCATGTGTTTGCTGCACCCTGCACAGAGTAGGGGACATGCCACACTTGTCTGCAGGCACTTGGCACCCTGGCCCACCCTCAGCCCTCAGCTCACCTTGAGCTCCACACCATAGCCAGGGTAGACAGAGATGGTGTAGGTGCAGTCCAAGCTGTCATAGGGGACACTGGTTGGCTCTGGGGACACCAGCCAGCCCTCGGGACCCGCCAGCGTCCGGTTGCAGGGAGCTGGTGACAGAGGAGACCCCAGCTCAGCCCCACTTCACCTCAGCTCCACCTGACTCCCTCCCTGGTGCTCACCTGGCCCCTGCAGTGTGGTGACAGTGGTGGTGGTGATGGTGGAGGTGGTAGTGGTCCCCTCCTCATCCCCAGGAACCACCATGGCCCCATTGCGGGGTGCCAGGGATGTGCTGGCCGTGGTGGGTGCCTGGCTGGGGGATGCAGTGCTTGATTCTGGCACCCCAGAGGGGGACAAGGAGGGGTCTACACCTGGCACAGCCCCCCATGTCTCCCCCCATGGCCCGGGGTGCCCCGCTAGCGTGGTCAGCGGGTCAGTGGGGAAGGCGGGCCTGGGCAGGGCAGGGGTACGGGGTGAGGGCTCGGGTTCTGGGGGGCCGGGGGCTGGCTGGAGGGCACTGGCAGGGAGGAGAGGACCAGCGCCAGCAGGCAGGAATGGCGCCTGGGCCAGGTAGTCCTTCTTCAGGAAGGCTTCGTGCAGCAGGTCCTCCAGCAGCGGGTGGTGGTTGAGGATCTTGAGCGTGGGCGCCGTGCTCACAAAGCGAGCCTCTGCCTCCCGCTCCGCCAGCGTGGGCACTGCCGTCGGCTCCACCTCAGCGCTCTCCTCAGTCTTCCTTGCCAGCCCGTTGAAGCCTGGAAGGAGGAAAGAGTGTGGGATGCTGGGGACCTGTGGACTGATGCTGGGGACTGAGGGAACAGGTGATGCACCAAGGAGTGATGCTTCAACACTGTGTCCTCAGCAGCACCTGGGAGCAGTGCTTGGACACGGACTGATGCTGTACCGGGTATGGATGCAGCTCTGGGGAGTGATGCTGGTGCAGTGCCACAGACCTGTGCTGCACTGGGGACTAACTCCTCCCATGGACCAACCCTGCACCACAGGCCAGTGCTGCTCCAAGGCCTAACGCTTCCCTGCACACCAATATTCCCCCAAAACCAGGATGGCAAACAAGAGCATCAGCCACATGCAGCAGGACTGTGACACCTTCTCTGCATCATACCCTTCACTGGGGCTGCCCTGGCAATTAAGCCATGGCTAATTAATGCACGTCGCCAGTTTGTACCACATGAAGGGATGCCCACTCCTCCTGTGAGCCAGCCCTGATGGGAACAGCCCTGGGACTGGGTGTCCCTGATCACAGATTATCTTTCACCACAGAGGTGGCCATCCTGTGCCAAGGTTCTCCCAGGACTGCGTATTCCCAGGGTGCAGACACACGGGTGATTCCCATGACTGCCATGACCAGCTGTGCCAGGAATGTCATGGGAGCCTGGACATTTGGACCTTTCTCCAGGCTGCCAAAGAGCTCAGCTTCTTTCCAGCCAGGCTGTCCCTGAGCAGTGTGAGTGTGCAGGGAACCCCCTACCCCATCGAGGCTCCCCCCTCTCCCACCCACAGCCACAGGGATTCCCCTGTCACAGCCCCGCGTTCCTCCCAGGCATTGTCTCTGAACAAATCCCCAGCATGCCCAGCCCAGCAGCTTACGGCCTTTAGACCAAAAATAAAAGAGAATTTAATCAGCCCTAATGAGTCACCCGGCATCTCCCGCTCCTAGATCTGCCACAGCACTGTTCCCTCTCCAGCTGGGCACAGCTCAGTGCCACAGCAGAGGGGATGCCATGGTGACACCCAGCATCCCTCTGAGCCCCTGGTGTGGGACACGAGGCCAGGGTAGTGTGTGGGCACGTCTTGCCGTGCACAAGCACTGATGACACGATACTCCCAATTACCGGGTAATTATCCCTATCCGTAGCAGGGCAGGGCCCCGAGAAGATTAATTACTCTGCGACTGCTGCTTTTAAGGGACAATTAAGAGACATTATCTTGGGTGTGCAGCTTAGTGGGGAGGTGCTGGCAGGCTCCTCACACTGCTGCTACCCACCCTCTGTCCCCACCACCCCTCTGCCATCACCCCGGGACAATGGTAATGCCCTGGGCACAGCAGGGACACCGGCCCACACCAGCTCCAAGAGGTCTGCTTGCCCCCCAGCAAGGCCAGAATTATGTTTTAATAGGATCCATTTATTAGAACATAAAAGTTAATGAGTTTATACTGAAGGGCGCCAAAATCTCCGTTAGGCTTTAATAGCGGATTAGTGTTCAGGGCTGGGCCCTGCACCACCACCACTGCCCAGTGTGGTGAAGGCTGGGCTATTGATGCCCACCCAGCCCCCTGGACACTCCTGCCCGTGAGCATCTCACCTGCCTGGGGTGCTGGGGGACACGGTGATCCCCATGGAGGCTACTGGCGAAGGCCAGGCCTCACAGCAAGGATCCTACAACAGGTCCCATCTGGATTTGAGCACCCTGGGCTGGGCAGTGTCCTGGCACCAGGCACTGCCCTGGGTGTCACACTATATTAGGAACGGAGAGAAGCATGACATGACTCTCTTAGCTGCATTGTCCAAGAGAGCAAAGTTTATTATTCTTAATCTTTTTTTTTGGAGAAGGTCCAAGAGGTAAAACTCTCACTGGTCATTAAAGCAACTTATCACCATCGTTGGTTAAGTGGAACACCAGCCCTTGACTGTTTCTTGCAAGTAAATCCTAAACAACACCTGCCAAGATTGTTGTCCTTTACCAAGGACTGTTTGGATTCTTTCTCATGCTTTCTCAGGCCAGAATGAGAAGCCTGTGTGACTTAGCTTCACACAGGCTCTGTTCCCTGCTTGCTTTTTGCATTTAATATCCACACCTGGGCTCTGTGTACCACAGAATGCTCTTGGTACCAGGGGATGCTTGGGACTGGGGATACTCTTGACCCTCTGGGGATGCTCAGGACACCATGAGAAAGCAGCAAGTGCCCAGCTGCTGACACTCAAGCCCCGTGAACACCACGGTATTAGATCCTCCACCTCCACAGATGTCTCTAAGCAGCTTATCTCCAGTGCCACAGCTATGTCCCTCCCATGTCCCCAAGGTGACCAGGGACTGCTGACGTGGGACTGGCCACCCCTCTGGGCCCTGGCACCCAGCAGCCGCCCTGCTGAACTCGGGGTGGGCAAAGGGACTGTCACGTCCCCAGTAGCCATGTGCCTGTTGGGGTCCCTCGTCATACTGGCCACGGTCACAGAGGGGACAGGATCCTAATCCCTCCCATTGGCTTTTTTGGGTGGGAGTTTATTAACAGCAGCCAGGAGATGCCAGAGACTAATCCGACTGTGGCGGGCGGAGGCCCCCGTGGCGGGAATCGATGCTGCCTGCTGTCACAAATAAATAAATAAGGCGGCACGCGGCCGCCCAGGGAGCACCGATCGATGCTGCCCGCCAAGAAAGCAATAACAGAGTGGCCGGCTCAGGGAGGGGACAGGGCAGGGCCCTCGGTGGCCGTGCCACCCCAGGAGCCGTGCCTCAGTTTCCCCATCTGTAGGACGGGGCAGGAGGGAGGTGCAGACAGGCAAGTGCCTGGCACAGGGTGAGGGCAGGGGCTGGGCCTCACAAGATTCTAGGTTTATTTTCTAATTTAAAATCCAATCTGGCTTTGCCCCCGTGGCCAGAGCCAGCAGCTGTGATGAATGAGCTGTCAGGCAGCTGACGCCACGCTCCCCCACCCACAGCCTCCCTGTCCCACAGCCTCCAGCCCCCTGAACTACTCCCAGCCTCCACAGCAGGAACAGGAGAGGGAACACACCCTGGTGATGCCAGATCCCTACCTGCCCCCTGCCCTGGTGGCCCTAAGGACCCCAGATGGAGAGCAGGGCTTGCTTCCAGGTGTGAAGGCAGCGTGGGCAGGAGCAGGCAGGGAGTGCAGGTGGGTGCAGGTGGTGGCAGCGTGGGCAGGAGCAGGCAGGGAGTGCAGGTGGGTGCAGGTGGTGGCAGCGTGGGCAGGAGCAGGCAGGGAATGCAGGTGGG